GGATGGGATGGAGGAACCAGGACAGCAGGATCTCAGTGGCTTCATCTCTTTAAGTGCTCCTGACACTCGGTTCATGCTGAGCTGTCAGGGAGAAAAATGTAACACTTGTTCAGCAGCATCATCATCACCAGGCAAAGGATTTGTAAAAAAATAATCTCTGTGACAGATCATGTTCCTTTTTCTGCAGGAAAACAGCTTTTCTTTGCCCTCCATCAATCCTGGTGGTGCTTTTTCCCCCCCCCCCCCCCCGGTGCTGGAGCCAAAAGCATTTTTTCAAGTGTGATTAAAGGATCAAAGGAGCTGCCTGGAGCTGTTTGGACAGGACACAGCGACAGGGGTTGGTTTCTGAACTCAAACCTTCCCTTTCCCAAATCCATCCAGGGCTGGCCCAGCCCTGCACCTTCGCTGGGAGCTTTGGGAAGGCAAAGGGACAGGGGAAAAGGCCCCATCTGTGCCCTGATGGAGGGTGGCAGGGACAGGGGTGGGTGCTTTGGGGGATGTACTGCTCTCCCTGATTTAGCAAAGCTTTCATTTCAGGGAAAAGTGGAACTGGGCATTTATCAGCATGGAAAATAATAAATTGAATCGATCCTTTGAGTCAGCCCAGTGATCCAGGATCAACTCTTGGTTAGAGCAATGCTGCTCAAACTTCCCAGAGCCACAGGAACGATTTGGTTCCAGCTTCAGCTCCATTTTTCTTTGCTTCCCTTGCAACCATTTGCCAAATTAAACCCCTTTTCATCTAAACCCCACTTCCATTTGCAAGACGATTTTTAGCTTTTTGCAGTTACCAGGTCAGACTGTGAAGGACATTCAGAGTGATTTTGATTTAAACACATATTTATTTTTTTCCTGGAAGAAAACCAGGCTGTGAGCACTTGGAAATCTCCTTTCCCTCTGGCAAAACCTGACTGGCAGCACAGAGAGATGGAAGCAGGGCTGGTACCTCACGGGGGAGGAATGAGGGTTTGAAGACAGTCCCTACAAAACTCCTATTCTGGGCAGGCCCCAAACTGACATTTATTTACAGCAAACATATAATTGAAATGTCAGAGGAGAACAATTAAAAGCCTCCAGTGACATGGATGTCAAGGGGAGCAGTGCTGGGATTTTGCTTTCAGTGCAAAGATGGATTGGGGCTGGTTTTTCCCTTTTCAGTCATTCCTTAATCTCTTTTCAATGTCATGATCTATTAAATACAATGTGGAGCAGAAGGAAAAGGTTTTAACCTCCAGCACCTCTACAGATTTTGCTCCAGCAGTAGCTGAGGGCTTAGATTTTAGTCATATTCATAGATACTCACACAATATATAATACTTATATATCATGGATGTGATCTATTATGTATTTTATATTATATATTAATGGCTTTAAACTAAAAGAGAGTAGGTTTACATGGGATATTGGGAAGAAATTCTTGGCTGTGATGGTTAATCATTTCTTTAAAAACCATTTCCTAAGTGTTAATCAAGGAATCCCACCATGGGTTGGGTTGGAAGGGACCTTAAAGCACATCCCATTCCAAACCCTGCCTTGGACCAGGTTGTTCATGCCAGAGCTGGATCCATCCAGGTGGGATTTGTTCATCCAAAGGCTGAAGCCAATGGAAGAGCAGCTCCAGCTCCAGCTGGGGCTGCACACCCAGAGGAAGCCCAAGAGGTGGAAGAAGCCAAGCAGGAAGGACTCCAAGCAGGAGGATCCACGTTCCCAGCAGGATTTTAACCTGCCAGAAGCACTTTGAGGTTTCTCCTTGAGTTTTGAGGTTCACCCTCAGGTTATTCTCTTTTTTCCAGCCGGTCAGACGAGGTCATGGAAAATGGACAGTTCCTGGGCTCCAGACAATTCCTTTGCTGCAGAACATCCTTTGATTGTACCTGACCTTTGTTTGATTGTACAACCATGGTTGCAATTCCACAGCAATGATAACAACATTCAAGAGATGGTCTTTTGGGCATTTCTGCTTGATATTCCACACATTTCAGAATAAAAAAAAGGGAGAAAAAAAGCCATTCTTCCCCTCAGCATCACATTTTCCCAAGGAGACACCGAGTGAGAGCATCAGCACGAGGGGTCTGCGTGTTTGTTCCATCACACCAGAGCCCTCCCATCGTTGTCCTGGTTCCCATTGTTGTCCCAAGGGGATTTGCACCGGGTTGGTCACCAGGGAAATTGGGCTGGAAGTGGATTTTTCCCACAAAACTCCTGGTTCACCCCAGCGAGGACACGTCAGGAATCAGAGCTGGCACGAGGAGCAGAAACTGTGTTTGCAAGAGCTTTGATTAAAGAGTCAGCTGGAATTTGGAGCTGGTTGGGGGTGGGAGGCTGAAGCCTTTTAATTGAACTGTTGGTTTAGGGGAAAAACTACGGGACATGTTTTCACACAAACACAGAATTAGGAGGCTGCCTGTGTGTCATCCCAAAGGCTGGAGGCTCCTGTTCCTGCAGGATGTTCTCCCGAGGATTTTCCCTTTCCTCAGCACAAAGTTCAGCCCCGAAAGCGTCAGGAGGTGACATTTGTGACAACTCTGAGTGGTGGCTCAGCCTGGGATCCGCCTGATTCCAGGGACAAGGTGTGAACAAGTTCTGGAAAAGCTTTTACCAAGCAATTAAAAATCCTAAATGATTTCAGCAGGGTTTAGCCAGGAGTTGTTCCAAGGAAAGGCCAAAATTAGGTGTCCCTGCAGGGTGTGAGTGGCTACACAGGTATCCCCAGGGCCAGCTGCCTTTTTGCACCCAAAAAAACAACGTTGTGATGCCAATTTGAAGAGTTCTATTAGTGATGATGAGCAGCTCTTTAAGCTGGTAGAGACAACCAGGAATCCTCTGCTGGAAGTGCAAAAAGCTGTTTGCTGTGTTTCTCAGACATGTAGACACTACAACAAACCTGCCAGCTCCCTGATTTTTTGGCAGCAGCCTTTGGTTGGCTTTGAAGGATAATTTGCTGCCAGGTTTCCACACAAGTGACCTCTTTGAACAGGCAAAGTCTCCCAGGTTTCCACAGAAAGCACGGAACGGTTTTACAACCAAACTGGCCTTTGTGCAAATAAATTGGACTTTGCAGAGCGAGGTGGGTGGTGGTAGCTCTGCTTTCATCTCTTGCACACTTGAACCCATTCGGGTTTTAAGAGCCTCTCCTGAGAAGAGCTCCTACACTGCAGCAATCCTAAAAACGATCTGCTGCTCACCAGGATCCTTAATCACCAGCCCACATCTCAACAGGGCACTTCATGGGGATGGGAGAAGGGGATGAGGTGGAAATACGGCCAAAGATTGGTGGATTTCAATTTATTCCGTGGGTGATCCTGTTCTGCTCATGGATCACCCACAGCCAGGGTGGGTGGCCCAAGGGGGGCAGCTGAGGGACCACTCTGAGGGCTCCATCTCCACCAGATGGGCCCCACGTCAAAAAAGGGGCAGAGATGACACAGAACAGAATTTCCATCATGGTTTCCTGCATTACAGGGTTTTATTTTTACTGTTAAAAAGCAGCTGGACAAAGAGAGAAAAAAAACCTCCAAGGCCAAATACCCACAAAAACCCCAGGCCAGGGAGCTTTGTGCCCAGCCCTGGGAGGCAGAGCAGGGCCCATGAAGCTGCCCAGGACACCCAGACACTTGCAGGAGGAGGAACAGGTTGCCCAGAGAAGATTCCTCATCCCTGGAAGTGTTTAAGTCCAGGTTGGACAGGGCTGGGACCAGCCTGGCTTTGTGGAAGGGGGTGGAAGGAGATGATCCCTCCAACCCAAACCATTTGGGTTCTGTGATTTCTCTCTAACAAGGATCCAACATCTGGCCTATAAAAACTATAATCACGAAGAGCAAATCCATTAAAAAACCAAACCAAACCAAACCAAAAAACAAACAAACAAACAAATGAAAAACAAAAACACAAAAAACCCAAACAAAAACAAACAAACCCCCAAACAAACAAACAAAACCAACAGAATTTTGGAGCCCAAAGGCTGTAAAAGAGAGGTTTGGGTCAGGAGCCTCGAGTGCCACAGTCTGTTTTTGTAGGAATGGGAGCAGCTTTTAGCAGGAGGGCAATTGTTGGGGAGTGCTCTGCACATCCTGAGTGAACAGGACACAAATATGTGTCCTGGACACATATTTGGGGGACAAACAGCTCAGCTTCATGGGCCCTGCTCTGCCTCACAAGGCTGGGCACAAAGCTCCCTGGCCTGGGGTTTTTGTGGGTGTTTGGCCTTGGAGGTTTTTTCCTCTCTTTAACCAGCTGCTTTTTAACAGTAAAAAAAACCAACCCTGTAATGCAGGAAACCATAATGGAAATTCTGTTCTGTGTCATCTGTGCCCCTTTTTTGACGTGGCACACATTTAACCAAGTGCCCCACTAAGCTAATGGCCGAGTGACATTTGCTTCAGTGCTCTGTTGGGAGAGGTGAAGCTGCTGTGTTCTCCATTAGGGTAATAACCCCCTTCCCTGCTTCCAGGGAATAGCTGGAACACGTCAGGAGCCCAATTCCACGTGCAAGTGCTGAAGTTTAAAAGCCAGGGTTGAATTCCCAAGCTGTTTAGTTGATTTTTTCCTGAAAAAGCTTAAATTTATTGACTTGAAGGTTCAAAATCCTTGGCCATGTTTCAGCAGGGAGGGGTTTTGCCAACAGACCAGTTGTCACTTGGGCAAATTTGGGGGGTTTTATTAAGAATATTTGAGCAGCCTGAAGTCTGTCCCCTGTTTCCTTGCTGCTGGTGGGATCCTCAGTTTTCTTGCTCTCATTTCAAGCTAGAAATGTTCTGTCTCCACCTGGGTATATTGTTATTATTCACAAGATATATTCACTCGACATATTAGGGTGAAACCTCCAAGTGTAAAATGCTATACACATATGCTGTAGATATATTGCAGAAGAAATGAATTACCTGTAAGCTGTTTTAAATTCATTCTAAATAGGTTTTGCAGAAGTTTTAAAGGGGGAAGACTTAAAGCCCACCATGATACTTTAATTTTAACACAAGTTGAAAACACAGCGAATGCAGCAATTCTGTGAGTAATAATATCCATTTATTTTATATTTACATGAAAGATTCTAGACTTTTTTCCACGCTTGCCAAGGGCTTAACAGAAAAGAAGGAGCTCTATTTTTCCCCCAGATTTGCAGAGTTAGGACAGAAATCATTGTTTGTAACTGGCTACTTCCAGATCCACGGGGTAGCGGATCCGGAAGGTCATGCACTTCTCTCTGTCAATAAAAATGCTGTTGGCCTTCACAGCTATTTCCTTCTCCAGCTTCATCCTTGTCTCCTCCAGGTTCTTCAGGCACTGCTCAGATTCCATCAGTTTTCTCTTCAGGGCTTCAATGAACACCGTGAGTTCTTCCACTTCGCTCACCAACCTGAAGGGAACGACAGGAGGGAATAAGGAAGAGAAAGAGGAGTTCGAAGAGAGACCTGGGATGGGAATAAAGATCAGCAGCTCTGGAATCACACAACTCCTCAGAAAGGAGCTCAGAGAAGTCCAAGGAAAGCAGAGTTCAGTCTCCCAGCCTCTCATGATTTAGGTAGTACCCAGAAGTGATTTAGGGAGTACCAAGAATTCATTCAGGCAGTACCAAGAATGTCTTTTGCTGCTAAGCACAGTGGAATTATCCGTCCTCCAGGATTGTGCTAAGAATTAGAGGGCAACAATTGTCACCCAGTTGGAGGGAATCAGAATTTTGTTAAACCTGGGTTTGGAGCTCTGCTCTCTGGTATAAAACTCAAGAGATAGAGAAGTCTTTGCTCCAAAAGTGCAGCAGGTTTTATGGAAGCAGGAGCACGGAATTTTTTTTAAAAGCAGCAACTAAGTTTGGAAGCAGCACAGAAATTCAGCTCCAATCCAGTGGGGGGGAGGAATCTGTGGAGAAGGCACGGATTTAATTCCTGGGAAAACAAGATCCCTGGGAGCTGTGCCAGCTCCAAACAGCCCGAGCCTGGCAATCAAACATTCCTTAAATCCCAGGAAAGGCTGAAAAGCTTGGGCAGGGAAGGTTTGCTGGATCAGGAGCCTCTGGATTAACCAGAACTCCTCCCTCACTGTACAGAGAGCAGGACACTGGGTGGCACTTTTGCTGCAAGGATTTGTAACCCTGCAAAAGCTGATTCCCCACTTTTCCCGAGGGCAGGAAATCGGGAAGGAGGAGAATCAATGGCAAAGCTTCTACTGAGATCAAAATGGGACCTTTAATTGGAAAGGATTGGTTGCCTTCCAGTTTTAAAGCAGATTATTCCCGAAAATCAACCACCAGCAGCGCCCTCCTTTGTCACACTGAGACTTGTCCCAGAGCGTTCACATTCCCAGCACTTGGAGCACAATTCCCTCACACAGAGTCCACCTCGTGGTGGGTTTTTGTGAGCAAGTGATCCACATGCTGCCAGATATTCTTTGGATCATTTAAATCCAAGACAAACCACCCAGTTCAGAGAATAAAGCAGAGCTGAATCGATAGATTTTCTGTTTGGTGACACATCAGGATAAAAGATTTCAAATAAAATATTTCAAATAAAATATTTCAAATAAAATATTTAAATAAAATAATATAATGTAAAATATTATAATTTATATAATAAAATAGAATATAATAATATTTAAAATAACAGATTCTAAATACTTGAATATTTTAAAATATTTTAATATTTAAATATAATAAAATTTAATAAATATATATTTATAATATAATCATATTTTATAAATATAAATAAATATATAATATATAATAAATAAATATATAGATAAGTATATAAAATATATAAAATATGTACAATAAATACATGTATATAAATATAAATATATACATTTAAATATAAATAATATATTTATAATATAATAAATTTAAATAGTTAAACGTAATAGATAAAATAAATTTTTAAATATTTAACTATTTAAAATATTTAATATAATAATATTTAAATAATATAATGTAAAATATTATGATTTATATAAGATCATAAAAATAAAATATAATCATATCTACAATAACATATTTAAAATAAAATATTCCTTGCAGTGATTTCAGTCTATTGAATTATTTGTGACTTATATCAGAACCAAACTGAGTAATAAAAGCTAAAGGCTGTGTGTTACCAATTAAAAGTGGAAAAACTGTCACTTTGGGACAGAAAAGGCACTTGGAGAAGTTGTTTAATTACCTGAACTGTGGTTCATCCTTGCAGAGCTCGATGTTGGGCCTGAAGGACCTGTCATAGAGCCTGGTCTGAGCTACTTTCAGGTGGGTTTCCTTGTCCCTGATGGCCTTCTTGAGAGCAACAATGTTGGCTTCCTCGTCTCCAATGTCCTTGAGGATCTGAGGACACCCAAGGAAAGGACTGGTTAAAAAAATGATATTTTCCCAGATGGATAAACATCTGTTGATGGGCCTGGTGAGGCTGTTGCAGTTCTGACCTCATATTTGGTCAGAATTCAGGAGAAATTAAAGTACAAAGGTGGTTTGGACCTCGTTATTTTTACTATTATATCTTGGGTCTGAAAAGCAGCAGAAAATATTTTGCAGCCTGTTCAAAACCTCTTCCATGTCTCCAGTGGGATGACAACACATCCCACCTCCAGCAAGTGCTTTTATTGTAAATCTTCACTTAATTTGATTTTAATTGTAAATTTCTTCCAAGAAAAAAAGTTGGGTTATTTTTGAATGAGATTGAGAGCTGCTGATCAGCTTGGAAAGGCAGGGATTTCTGAGGGAAATGGAAAAGACAGGAAATCCCAACCCCCTTCTCCCTCACAACCACTGACATGGATGTAAAACACAAATCCTGCCCAGCTGTCATCACCCACCAGGGCCAAGGAAGGACTATTTTTCCACACTTGCAAGGGCCTAACACAAAACAAGGAGCTGCTCCACACTGGAGAAGGGGAAGAGGCTGAAGACACATCTTATTCATAGACTAAATAAAAGTATTAAGGTGGTTTGGACCTCTTTATTCTCATTATTACTCTGAGAACCACATGGGAGAAGCAGCAGAAAATCCTCTGCAGCCTGTTCAAAACCTGTTCATGTCTCATGTGGGGGGACAACACATCCTCCCTCCAGGAAGGGCCACCAGGTCCCAAGGAATGTCTATTTTTTCCACACTTGCAATGGCCTGACAGGAAACAAGGAGCAGCTCCACGTTGGGAAAGGGGAAGAGGCTGAGGACACCCCCTGCCACCATTGCAGCGATGGCTGGCATTCCCCAAAACCCAGAATCCTGGGAATCCTCCAAAGAGAGCTCCACAGTTGGAAGTTTTAGTTCAGCCCAGATATGGATGGAAGTGTTTCATTTTCCTCACATTTAAGTCCATCCCAACAAAAGCAGAAAGAGCAGAAGTGGAGCCCCAACCCAGCTCTGAAGAGTCTTCCCAGATCCTGAGCTGACACAAAACAGTGTTTGACACCCGACTGAGACTGAGACATTTGAGAAGACAAATCTGTGTTTAAAGGTAAACCAGGAGGGGAAATGAACCCAAGTCAAAAGAGAGATTATAAATCAGAATAACAATTTAATAAAATAATACAATAAATATGATTATACAGACAAGCAATTGGTTTTAACCCACAAAACCCAAATGTATAACCCAGCACCCTGGGGCATGAACAGAGTGGTGTTCTTTGGGCCCCCTGAGTCCAAAGTAAAAGGAGAGGGGGGAAAACCTGTTGGTGAGAGTGCTGGTGCAGTCTGGGCAAGAGTGGTGGTCTCAGTCTGGTTGAGAGTGGTGGTCTCAGTCTCTGGATCCCACGATTGGTTAAAAAAGTCCCAAGACTCCAAGATTATATATCCTCAGATTCAGGCAGGAATGCCCAGTCCCTCCCTCAGGACAGGGAGTTCCACACTGGGTGTGAGGACAGGAGCATCCTCCTATCTCACAGGCCTCTTAACACCCAGTTTATAGCCTGAGGGGTCAGGGCTGCTCTGGGTAGAGGGTGTAAATGGTCTACTGAGAACAGTTTCTGGGAAATGGCATGGAAGGCTCTAGAATACACAGTTTTGGGTTACACCCATCCAGTGATGAACTGGTCCCAGCTGTTCTAGCTAGGACACCTTCTCAGGAGAAGAACTCACCTTCTCCAGGTGCTGCTCCAGCCTGAGCTTGGCATCATCCAGCTCCCTGCAGTGGTTGTCGAAGGCCTCGTTGACGGCCGCCCGCTGCATCCGCAGGTCCTCGGACACGTCGTGGATGATGTTGTTGATGAGGGAGCGGAGCTGCACAGAGGCCAGTTTTTCCTGTTCTGCACTATAAATGTTGTCATGGCTGAACTGGGCCCAGGTCTTGGGTGTGGAGGCGCTGGAAGAAGAGAAAAATGGGATAAAACGGGAATCTTGCCCTCCAGAAGACAACCTGAAGCTGGTTGTCTCCCTGCAAAAGCGCCGTCAACCTCTGCGCTGTTGCTTGAAACGTAGACTTGCCATGAAGGAAGAAGATTAATCCCTTAACAAATTAATAATCTCTCGTTCCTCTGGCTTCTGAGGGGAGCCATGAATGACACAAAATCAACCAAAGCTCTTCCATCTTTAGCTGACACTGCTGAGGATCAAAAAGCAGATGCACTTTGTGCGTCACCAGCGGTTCAGTCACAGCAAATAAACACATCAATATGTTCGAGATTTACAGTCTGTGTCTGCTTGGAAATAAAAGATACAAGATCTTGACAGGCTGAGAGAGGTGGGGTATTCAACCTGGAGGAAAGAAGGCTCCAGGTACACCTTAGAGCCCTTTCCAGTGCCTAAAGGGGCTCCAAGAGAGTTGGAGAGGGATTTGGGACAAAGGATGGAGGGACAGGACAAGGGAAAATGGCTTCTAAGTGACAGAGAGGAAATTTAGGTGAGATATTGGGAAGAAATGGTTCCCTGTGAGGGTGGGGAGGCCCTGGCACAGGTTGCCCAGAGAAGCTGTGGCTGCTCCTGGATCCCTGGAAGTGTCCCAGGTCAGGTTGGACAGCGCTTGGAGTGACCTGGGCTAGTGGAAGGGGGTGGGACTGGATGATTTTTAAGCTCCCTTCCAACCCAAACCATTCCATGATTCCATGATGCTTGGTTACACTTGGCCATGTGGAGCACCAGAAGGAACCACAGCCCTTGGGACAGGACATCCCTGAGAGGGGAGGGGGAAGCCCCAAGGTTGATGTTCCACCACTCCTGTCTGTGTGCAGGAAGCAGCACTGGCCTTTCCCAAAGGAATGACTTGCCTTCCAACGTCAAACAGCAAGTCCCAACAGGATTTAGATCAGCCTTCAGCAGCACAAAGCCAATTATTTCCAAGAAAAACCCCTCCAAGCTCAGCTTGCCTGTGCATGGCCAGCTTTGCCATCAGGGGTGGTGGCATTAACTCTGCTCTCTGTGGAGCTGTTTTAAACCTATTTTCTGTGTCCAAGGAAGCAGAATCCCCCCTTTAATTCCCATCAGTGCCAGCCTGCAGTGCCTCCAAGGATGTTGTATTTTCCCAGGGTTATTCCAGGAGGATCCTGCCAGGAATCACTCACTTCTCCTCGAACTTGACAGAGCTGGGGTGGAACTGGATGTTGGTGCTGTCGTTGTTGTAGGTCACACATTTGTCATCTATGTGATAGGTTTCCACCTTGTCCGACCAGTCCAGCTCACAAAACTCCTTCTGAATCCGATTGGAGCTGAAAAGTTAAACCCACACATTGTTAGTGGGGAACAACCCAACCTCCAGACCCAGCACAGGCACTTGGAAGCTCAGCTTTGGGCCTTTGTGTCACCAGAAACCTTCCTTTTTGTCTCTAAAATCCTCTCAATCCCACAACCAGCTCCTAGAAGGACACTAAGCCTGATTTAGGTGGGATATTGGGAAGGAATCCTTCCCTGGGAGGGTGGGGAGGCCCTGGTACAGGTTGTCCAGAGAAGCTGGGGCTGCCCCTGGATCCCTGCAAGTGTCCAAGGCCAGGCTGGAGCAACCTGGGCTAGTGGGAGGTGTCCCTGCCCATGGCAGGGGTGGGACTGGATGGTCTTGGAGGTCCTTCCCAACCCAACCCATTCCTTGATTCCACTGTCCCAGACCTCCAGTCCAACTCTGCGCCTGCTGAAGGCTCAGAGCTCCTACCCTGAGACAAAGGAGTGGTTGCACTTGGGATTTTACACCATAATCCTCAAATTTATGGTTTTTTTTCAGCAGTGGGGACAGCTGCAGTTATGGGAAGAGCAAGAGGTTTGCCCAACAGAACATCCATGACAGGACATCAGGAAGTGCCAGTGGAAGACTCATCCTCCCCTTTCACCAATCTATTGAGAATATCTCGAATTCCAGACCTGCATAAAGTGACCCCACACATTCCCTGAGCCCTCCCATCCAGCCTTCAGTGCAGTTTGTCCTTGGAAGATACAAGTCCAGTGATATCCAGATTCAAACTGCTGCTCTGGCGTCAATTAGAGTCACACATCACCCAATTAATTAACATTTCAATTCCAAAAGCCTGCGGGTCGTTATCGGCTGGGAACAGCAGATGTCACTCTCACCCAAGGAATTCATACTCTGCCGGAAAACGGGACTAAAATGGGACTAAATGGGACTAAAATGATCTTACAAGAATTACAAAAAGCCAAATAGGCTCCTCTCATCCTCTAATTGATGTAACAGAACTAATTTATATTATTTTGCATTTATAGCCATTCTTTTCAAAAGCAATATTTTGTTTTAACTGGTAGAATAGGAGCAGATTAAAAAAAAATTAAAATCTCAAGGTTTCCAGCAGTCAGGTCCGTTACATTGATGCATCTTAAGGGGTCAGGTAACACCTTTCCAAAGGGTTTGTTAGAAATTCCAAGCAAATAATCCTTTGGAAAGGCAGTGAACACCCCTGCTGGGACAGATTTAAAGTTCACACTGACACCTGGTGGCAAAAAAAACTCATTTGGAAAAGGCGAAATTCCTTTAAACCAGCCAATAACACAAATCCATCACAAGGTGCAAGAATCATCCAGGGAATACTTTTATAGCACTGGAGTTCAGTGTTGGAAAAAATCAACCCCACGTTGGAAACCAGGCCTGGAAATCCAAATCTACTTTATTCTACTTGAAAATCCTCAAGTTTCATCCCTGCCTTTTCCAAGTTTAAATGGAATTCCCACAGCCCATAAGCACTGGGGAGGTATTTATCCACTATTCCCATGTCCCAGGAATTATTTGGCTCCATAAATCAGCTGCTAAAATAGCAGGGAAAATGTCCTACCGGATCTGGTTGGTGGCTTGGATTATAGTTCTTTTCAAAAGATCCCGGATATTCCTGATAAGATCAGCTTCCTAAATAAAAATATGGATATTTCTGTGACATCCAGAGCAGGACACACCATCCTGCCAAGGAATTTGATTTCAGTGGTGGTGGATAAATCAATAAAACTGGATAAACACTGAAATTGTCTCACCTGCTTTTAACTTATTCTGATTTTTTGAGGAATCAGCAGATCCTGAGGGAACTCAGCTCTAAGTCTAAGGCAGCAGCAATACCTGGAATGCTTCTAAAGCCTGGGAATTCATTATTTTCATATTGCCTGGGTATTTGCTGGAAAACTCTATGTTCTGCCATATTATGGAAGGCACAGGATGCCCAGAGAAACTGTGGCTGCCCCATCCCTGGAAGTGTCCAAGGCCAAGGTTGGACCAACCTGGGATGGTGGAAGGTGTTTCACCTCAAACTGGAATGTTTAATCCAACACAAATGTGACCAAAATGAAACATCTCCTTCTTTTCATAATCTCTTGTCGAATAAAGGTGCTCATTTTTGACCCCATAAAGCTGCTTTAGAGATAAACCATCAACAATCACTGACCAGGTGATTTCACATAAATACAAAACCCCAGAAAATTCCAGCCTTTTCTTTGAGATTATTTAAAGGAATTTAATATTTGAGGCTCAAAAAAAAAAAAGAGCTTCTGCATATAAAAAATCCTAGTTAATTCTGCTTTGCATCAACGACAGCTAAGGGAGGATCTCCTTGCTAATAAAGTTTATTCTCAGATTCCACTGATCCTTGTCCTGGTTTTGACAAATAAATGAGTGGGTGTGTCCCTGCAGTGTCAGATTCTCCATCCCAAGAAAGCAACAGGGACCAGAAAAAAGATCAGTTGATTCCAAATGGAAAAGGACCATCATGATGGGAAAGAAAATATTATTTTTGAGGCATAATTAAAATAAAACCACAGCTGAAGGTGTCATTTTACAAAGTTACCTGCAACGGGTGAGTTGTTAAATTAAAAATTCAAAAGGGGTTTAAAAGGTTACATTTATAATAACTGAAATTATTTTAAGGTGGGGAGTCAGTCTCCACGTAAATAAAGAGACATCCAGCTCCATGGGAGTTTTAAATGGAAAAGCTTCCCTTTAGCAATGGAGGTCTCTCACTTGGAAAGAGTGACATAATGCAAAAAGAACAAATTCTCTCGTGAAATGACTCAAAATATAATTGAAAAGTGGATTCCCTGTTGAGGAGATATTCAAATCTGACATTTAAAACTGAACTTCTCCTAATTAATGGCAGTCCAAGGCTGCCAGGGGGAACAAGCTGGAGGAAATGAGGAGGAATTTTCCTAATAAACGATTTTTCTTAACTTTGAGAAGAGTTAAAAAGTCAGGTTGTTTGGCTGGAGGAGCTGTGGCACCGAGATGGAGATGAAATGCTTTGATCCAGGTCCCTGGATTGGGACATCATGGGACAACCTGGGGCTGTTTCCTGGGAGAAGGTCCACATTCAGAGGAGCATCAGAGGGATCTGCTCTGCTCTAGCCACACTCACGTGATTTTAAACACTTTTTAAATAGAGGAAGGACTTCAAACAATCCTTCTTAACACTTGGAGTGACACGACACGGTCCAGGAGGGTCACTGGGCCTCGGCATCGCAGAAGAACCTTCACTGCTGCCCGAGCTGCTCCTCGTTTCACAGACCAGAGCAGCACTCGGGGGCTGCCACTAACTTTAAGATCCTTCTCACCTTCAGCAGCTGCCTCTCCACCTCATCAATGACCAGGTCCGGGGGCTGCCTCCTCTCCCGGCACTGCAGGTTATCGGTGACCACCCCGTAGGGCACCTCGGTGGCATCGAGGGTCCGCTCCAGCCGCAGCTTCTGCGCCGCCAGCAGGTTGGTCTCGGCGTCCAGCTCCATGATCTCCTTCTGCAGCTCCACCCTCCAGAAGTGGATGTCCTGCAGGCGCTGGGCCAGGGTGGTTTTGGAGTACTCCTGTGCCCTCTGGGCGCAGGCGGCCGCATGTTTGGTGAGGTGCTTGGACTCGGCCACGTCGCGCTCCGAATCCTCGCCCACGGTGTAGGCCCGGTTGTAGACCCGGGCGTTCCTGCGGTGCCACTCGGGCAGCTGGTACTTGGCGGTGCGGAGGCCGGCCATGGCCATGCCGCAGCACGAACCGGGCCTCTCGCCGCGGACCACATCACCGGGCAGGGCGCAGATCTTGCCGGGCAGGGGGCAGGAGGGCACGGCCGGCGGCACCGGCTCCTCGGGGAGAGCCATGGCGGAGCCTCGCCGGGCGCTCCCGCCTCCCGCTCGGCGTCCGCCCGTCACCGCGGCAACGGCCGCCACCAATGAGGAGCCGGCGCTGCGATTTAACGGACACCTGCATTAACCAATCGCAGCGAGGATACGCCCTGAGGGCGCCTCTGATTGGGGGATGCCGCCGCCTGTGCCCGCCCCCCGCGCGGCTTGTTGCCATGGCGACGGGGACACAAGGGTGGGGGTGTCATGGCGGTGGGCGGGCCTCGTGGAATCATGGATTTCCCATGGAATCATAGCATCCTGGAATCATAGAATAGTCAAGGTTGGAAGAGACCTTTAAGACTGTGATAAACAAACTCTCGAGTTTCTATAAGTTTTTGAATAGGAGTTTATTATATGGTAAAAGCAAGCAGCCGGCTGGGTGACAGAAATGGGGACCAGTTTCCCAAATCTGCACGCCTACTACAGGGTACATTTAGTATTTATCTTAGCTACTTCATGCATATTAATTATATCATATACATATACATTCTACAGGTTTTTCCTAAGTATTTAATATATGGGTTTTCTTACAGCTAAAGCTAAATGATTATCTCTACAACCAGTCATAATTCATGCATTCTTGGACAAACAGGCACCTAAAAGACCATATTTTATTCTTAGGATAGTAGGGAGGTTTAGGGCCCCTTGACCTTGTAAGGGTCTGTTTTATTTCTTTATGGGGGTGTAATTAAGTTTTACAATCCGTTTGTTTTATTTTGATGTAATCACCCATTTGTTTCACGAATCACAATTATTTATTTATCACAATACCAACAAACCCAACCATCAATGTACCAGTGTCGCTATAACCCCTAAAACCCTAAACTACATCGTCCAGTGCCAAATCCAGACACCTCTTAAGCACCTCCAAGAACAGGGACTCCATCACCTCCCTGGGCATCTCCTTCCAATTCCTGAGCACCCAAACAGTGCAAAGAATTTTTCTAACATCTGAATCTTCTCTGTCTGATCTTAAGGCCATTTCTTCTAGTCCTCGCTGTAAACACAGCAGAAGACACTGGTCCCCCCTCACTGCAACCCCTGGGCCTGGGGCTCTGCTTTTCTGACTGATGCATGCCCACAATAACACATTTTCCTGCTTGTTTTGGAAATCCAGGAGTATCCCAGCGGGATTTCAGCCCAGCAGGTGGTGGAAGCCAAGGGGAGGCTCTGTATTGCCCCCACCACGTTTGCCCTGGGACCCAGAGAGCCTCTTGGGGGACCCGGCCCTGCAGCATCCACAGGGTTAAAGTCACTCAATTCAACCCATTTTTGCACCTACTCTGTTCTTACACTCAAATGTTCATTTTTAAGGCCACTCATGTGACTTCGGTTTTGACACAGAGCAGGTGCTGATGAAGTGCAGCTGCTTCTGCATCACCTGTTTAATTGGCACCTGAGGAGATTCAGCTGCTCCTGGAATTAGGGTGAATTTTGGGGGTTGCCATCACTGTGTTACAAGGAGGGGAAAAGGAAAAAGGGAAAGGGAAAGAAAAGGGAAAAAGGGAAAGGAAAAAGGAAAAAGGAAAGAGAAAAGGAAAAAGGAAAGGGAAAAGGAAAGGCTGTGAGGGCACACCTTGTGCTCGGAGCCCTCAGCACAAGGAAGGTGCTGGTGACAACAGAGGGCACTCTCGCCCTTGCACAGATCTCTGTCTTCAATGTCATTTTGATTTAGAAAATAAAAGGGATGAAACCTTCCGGTGCCCTGGAGGGCCCCTGGTGTCCCCTGTGCCCATCGGCTCCCTGGAAGGATCCCGGGGCTCCATCAGGCTCTGGGCACAGCGCAGGGACCCCCGGCTGCGGCACAACCTCTGCAGGAGACACTTTGCCCTCGGAGAGTTGGCTCTAAATCCATAGGAAGTCAAGGATCGTTTTTCCCCGGGGTCCTGCACTCTCTGGGAAGAGCAGTGGATGTCCCTGATGGAGTATCAGCGTTTGGGATGTGCCTCGTGCCCCGGCTGCAGCTCTGCCTGCCAGGCCTATGCCACTGCTGCCTTCCAGAGTGTTGGAAAAGGAGATTCAGCCCCAGCAGAGATAAAAAATCCTTCCCTTTCCCATCTGCAAATATTGCAGCTGTCTCTCCAGTTAAACAGCAGTGGTGGGGGGTGTCTGCACTGGGGAAGCCACTGGAATGACACCCTTTGTTTCTCTCCTTTTTTGTGTATCTTCCCTCCAACTGTAGCTGCCCTTTCATAGAGTCATGAAATCATGGAATGGTTTGGGTTGGAAGGGACCTTAAAGCCCATCTAGTCCCACCCCTGCCATGGACAGGGACATCTTCCACTAGCCCAGGTTGCTCCAACCAGGCCTTGGACACTTGCAGGGATGGGGCAGCCCCAGCTTCTCTGGGCAACCTGTGCCAGGGCCTCCCCACCCTCCCAGGGAAGGATTCCTTCCCAATATCCCATGTAACCCTCCTCTCTGGCAGTTCCACCTTGTCCTGTCACTCCTGTCCGAAGTCCCTCAGCTTTCCTTGTGTTACCCCAGCCCTGCCTTTCCTTCTCCTTCTCCTTCCCCTGCTCGTGGCCTTCTCTGCATGAGGATCTACGCAAATATTGCGTTTTAAAGTACAATAAGTTTCCAGGAAAAGCCCTGCTGAGCTGTTCACAGTGAAAGTCCTTGGTATGGAAAAGACTTTATTTTTAAATAAGGGCTCCAGCAATTTGTTATTAAGCGGTTTTTTTGGTTTTTTTTTTTTTTTCTCTGAAGGTTTTAAAAGACCTTTTATTAGTGACATCTTGGCACACCCACTCAGTGTCACCCAGGCAGGTTTGAAGGTGGGTCACTGAGGGCCGTGGTGGGCCGTGGCCAAGGTTTCAAGCTTAGTTTGGGCCCTAAAGGCGACTGGGAAATTATAATCTTAGAATTCCAGAATCACTGAGGTTGGAAAAGCCCTCCCAGCCCATCGAGTCCCCCCTGTGCCCCATCCCCACCTTGTCCCCCAGCCCGGAGCACTGAGAGCCACGGCCAGGCCTTCCTTGGACACCTCCAGGGATGGGGACTCCAAACCTCCCTGGGCAGCCCCTGCTGATGTTCAACAGCCTTTTCCATGAAGAAATTATTCCTGAAATCTTCTCCAGCAGGGAAACACTGCCCAAAAAAATCTGTCAAGTCTTCCTGATCCAGTGCAGGGATTACTCCAGGGAGCAGTTTCAGAGTTGTTATCCCACCTGGTCAATGTTTCCCAAGGACCAAATGGATTTTGGGGAATATTTTCCCCAGGCTGTGTGTTGTTTGGGTTGTTGGTCAGTCTAAGCCCCTCTTTGAAGCGTTCACAGATGCATCATGTCCTGACAGGCTGAATATCACTTGGTTACAAGAAATAAAAGCAAAATCTGTTGGCACCTGGCAGATTCCAGAGTTCCCTTCCTTATCCAGGGCAGATCCAGGCACCCCCCCTGTTTCAAAGCCATCCTGCCACTCCAGGAATTTAATGTGCCACTGGAACATATAAATTATTAACAGCAATTCAAGCTCAGGGCACGAGCTGACAAAACACAGTGGAAGGAAAGACCAGAAATGTTTTCAGCTCCAATCTTTTGCTGGGCAATGGATTAGGAATTTTCTTGGCTACAATCCTTTTAGCAGGAAACTTCCCTCACCTGAGAGCAGCTCCTGATTCTCTACATCCACACTGACCAGAACAAGAAATCCTGGGCTCAAAACTGCTTGAAACAGAGGGACAAATTCTCCTCGTGGTGATCCACTTGTTAGAATTTGGCTCAGTTTTACTACGAGTGGGACATCATTTTTTAAAATTTCATTTTTATGTAATATTTTTGTATTAATTAAGCATCATTATCCATTTTATCTGCTGGCTGCACACCCCAGCAGTGCGATGGAGAGAAAACACGGCACATTCATCCACCTGATAAATAGGGAGAAAATGTGGTGAATTCGTTCAGGCCAGAGAAAATACAGACAATTATTTTCCATAAGGCAGCGTCTGGTACTGACAAACTCTGCCTGAGAGCGACAGAGCACAGGAATAAAAGAGATTAAAGAGTTGGGAAGGGAAATTTTTGTTTTCACATCAACAAAGTGTTGCGTTTCGGCTTAAAAAATAAGCACACAATAAACATTTCAGCCTCAGGAGCTCTGATGGTTGGTAAAGGAGTGAGACCAAAGGCTACCTAAGAACGTGGGTGTTGTTCTTCTACCATCTCATAGCCCCGGGATTAGAAACCTCTCTGCTGTTTGGAATCTAATCACCCCTTCCTAGAATCCGATCGATTCGGACAACATTAATTATTTGTAGCATTATGAGCATTTCTTTTTAGAAAGAAGTTCTTTCACGAGCAAAACAAAGCCTAAATGGAGTCATTCCAGCAGCTTTATTTCCCAGCCTGGTGTCTGGGAGCAGAGGGTGTTTGAGGAGACCCTTGCAGGGGGTGACACCACTTTGAGTGGCAGCTGTCAAGGCTGTGTTTGTTTGCAATTCCCACGGGAATGTGGGTCCCACACTGGTGGCTGTGGGGGCAGAGCACTGAATTCTGAGGAAATCTTTGGAGTTTGTTGTATCTCCAACAAGGATCTGCTGCCTTCCAGGCTGCTCCACGAGGACATTCAGTGGCAGTGTTGGAGCAGAACTTCCCTGTGTCCTGCCAGGCAGGAGGGCTGGAAGGGGGAGCTGGGGAGTGCTTGGGGGGAGTTCTGGCTTGGGAACAAAACCCAGCCCCTCCCCAGCACTGCCTGGTCCCTTCCTGCTGCTGGCACAGATGACTCTTGTATTATTTAAAAAAAAAACTCTGGTTGTTCAACCCTTCACTGGAACAAACTGGTTTAGTTCCAGGAGGGAAATGAAATCACACCGACGTCTCCCAGCAGAAAATCTGATCTTTTACTTATAAATGTAAAAGATCTCTTTAAGATCTAAGGAAAACCTTAAGATCTAAAAGTAAGAGATCTCTTTTTAAAAACGTCTCAGCTTTTAACTTTCAAGTTCCACTCAGCTCTTTTCTTTTCATGTACTTTTATACATAATTTTATTAGATTCCCTTCTGCTCCTCCAAACATCAGCCCAAGGTCTGTTTTT